CCACCTGTCTTAAAGTTGCCAAGGTTGAGAAATACTGGTCTAAGCTAACAGGATTTTGTCATTTTAAAACTTGCAGTGTTTGCTCTTTGGGGACATTTACTTCTTCCTGATCCAGCACAGCTTTTCATAAGCAACAGCAATTATTTCTTAATTGAAAAAGAGCTCCCAGAGTAAAACAATTTCTGCATCCAGTCATGGTTTGCCTTCACACTGATCTTGAAATAAACTTTCCCTATCCTTCCCCAAGTTGTGACCTGCAGGATGCTGATACACGGTCGCTCCTTTAATTTTTCAGTTTGTTGAATGTATCAGTCTGAACCGAAAACCATTTCATCTGCTTGGAACTTCTATGGGTGGAAATGTGGCTGGTGTTTATGCTGCTCTGTATCCAGCAGAGGTCTGCAGCTTAAGTCTTATATGCCCTGCAGGTGAGTGATGCAAAAGAAATCTGACTTCTGAGAAAGTAGTGAAATGCATTGGATGGGACCCAGAAAATTATGTTTGCATGGTAGATCCCAGGAAGAAGCAGATGAATTTTAACCCTGATCTTTTGCAGTTCACTTCATCTGTGGTTCAGGGAGGTCCAACATACTTTTTTCCTGATTATTTTTTGTTCCCCCCCCCATCCCCCTTTTAGTGCAATAAGTGTGTTAAGCCCATTGAAGGAGACTTCCCCAAGCTGGATGACTTCCAGAAGTATGAGCTTCAACTCCTAGAAATTTCACCAATGGCCATTTGGCTGAAGAGCTCTCAGTGTTGGGGAAGGTTATATTAGAAGATCAACATATTTATGTTGTAGTTTTGAAGGGGAAATATCTTGCCTCAATATTTCAATGGTTTGTTACTGAATTCAGTGTCACAGCTTGGGATCCTGCTGTAGACAGCGTCAAAGACTAGAGGGCCACATTTGGACTGTGGCTTGAATATCATTTGTCATAATCTGATATCAGGAAGTTAAACATTTTGGAGCACATCTTCTCTCTTCCAAGGGCAGTCAGTGGTTAGTGGAAATGAACACAGGTGAAACATTCTGGATCTTTCCTTCCCTGCTTGGTGTCCTCCAGATATGCTAGCCTGAGAATTTTGGGGGATTATGTTTAATTTATTCTGCTATAAATTTTATAGCAGAAGATGCTTCATAAATGCTCACTGTGTTCACCAATAGCCATACTTTTAATTGAATTTGTAATTCCATGCACTTAACTGAATTGCCAACTAAATCCTTAGGGGTAATGTGGTGCCTGGTCTTGTTATCACTTCCTCCCCCCCCCCCCCCCAGCTGTTGCTTAAGAAATAAAGTTACATATTTTCTCTGGCAGGGTTACTGGGAAAATCTATTGCTTTGTGATCTTAGCACACAATGCTTCTTCCCCTCTCACTACAGGTCTGCCACATTTCACAGAAAACAAGTTCATAAAACAGCTGAAGGAGCTGAAGGAGAAGAAATGGATTGATCAGATTCCTTTAATTCCATCCACTCCGGAAGAAATGGCAGACATGTTAAAACTGTGCTCTTACGTTCGCTTCAAGGTGCCCCATCAAGTAAGCAAGTGGCATAATAGGAAGATATCTTTAACTGGGATTCCCCCCTCCCTCCAAATTAGTTGTTTTATTGTAGAATACGAGTAATACATTGTATAATACAAATAAAAACTAAGTGCAGTGGTGTCTATACAGTAGAAACTGAAAGCTGTTAATGCTGTGAGGGTTAAAGTAAATTAAACCTTTCAAATAGCAAATATACTGTATATCAGTGTTAAGTATAATTTCTAATATATGTAGGAACACAGAGTTGCTTATATTACACAGTTGTTGCTTAATATGACATTGATTAGAAGTTGCAAAGGGCATTAACTTATTTTGTAGTATGAAAAAAGTTTATATTTTTGAACTTAATACCAATTAATACTACTGTATGAATATTGTTATTTATGAGTAGTAACTAGAAATTTTATTGAACTCACAAGGCTACTTCAGTGAGCATTTGCTGGGACGGTGGCTTGGTATTGTCTGAAAAATTTAATTAACAGGTTGCAGTATTTTGCAAACAGCACATATTTGCCTGCAACTGAATGGCTTGAACTGATGATGTGGTAACAGTGTGTGCCACATGTGCTTTTTAATACTGGATGTGTGTGCAAGGGCACTGCTAATTCAGGCTCATAAATAAATTCTACCCCAGCATTTTCTCTCTCTCACACACATGCGGGGGTCCCCCACTTCCTGTCACACAACCCTCACGTACTCCTTTCTATCCTTTTCTTGGCCAGCAACATTACCACCTTTCCTCTCTTTCCTGTAACTTTTTAAAGTGTTTTGAGTGTACAGAATTGTAGTTGTGCTTGACAGTTTCTTTCTGGGGTGGGGGTGGGGCAGGAAAAGCAGCATAGAGAAAGATGGTTGGTTCTCCTCCCTTTCCTTCTCCCTCTCCTTAAAAAAGAAGCGTGGAACTTCATTTTGAGTGGCCCTGGATGGTGGGACTCTGGATATCTGCCTGGCGGTTGAGCAGATATCTGTAGACATGTAAAATTGCCACAAGAATCAACACAGGTAGTCCTCGGGTTACAGTGGCATTTGGGACTGGGAACTCTGCTGCTAAGCAATGCAGTTGTAAAGTGCTATGTCATGTGAACATGTGGCTTAGTGACGGCAATTCTCACAGTTCTGGTTGCCATCATTAAATGAGGATCACGCGGATCATTAAGCAAGGACCTCATGTGATTGCGACTTATGACTTCCTGCCTGCTTCCCCATTGACTTTGCTTGTGGGAAGCTGGCAGGGAACACTGGAAATTGCAAACATGTGACCATGGCTTGCTGCAATGTTGCAATCATGAGCCAGACACCAAGTGCCCAGATTTTAATCCTGTGACTGTGGGGATGCTGTGATGTCTGGAACTCGAGGAGCCGTCTTAAGTCCCCCTCATTTAGCGCCGTTGTAACTTTGAATGGTCGCTGAATGAATGGACATAACCTGAGAGCTACCTGTAACCCTGTTTTTGCCACCTACTTCAGCAATATGTAGAGAATTCCTGGGAGGGTTTATTGTATGACTTCTACCTCATCAGGCTTGGGAATAGCATACCTTTGCGAGCCTTCTGTTCCGCTTTCTAGCTTCTGAGTCTTTCAGCTATGATATCAAATGCCATGAGATAGATGGAATTTTTCATTATTAACCTGTAAGGCAAACCTTCAACAAAGGTTTTTACTTCCAGATATCAGCGTTTGGGCTGCTTATTTTTGGATAGTAACACAAATGAGGATCAGAGTGAGGGATATAGGAAGCTGCTTTAAATGGAGTCAGACTACTTTAACTTAGTGCCAATGTTTCTTCAGTGTTTCACACAGAAAGCCTTTGCCAGCTGGAAATACCAGGAATTAAGTTTGCAACCTACTGTGAATTGACAGCCCTTGTCAACTTGTGAGAGCCGTTTCATTTTTTCCTCTAATTGATTCTGCTGTCCTGAACATTTAGCAGCCATGTGGGTGTTAGAAAGAAAAGCGCTTGTTATGTGCTACATTGGAGGGACAATTTTTTTAAAGGAAAAAATAAAAATAAAAAAAAGGGGACTATACGGCCATTTAAAAGTTAGACTCTTCATTGTAAGTGCATGCAAATCTGACTTAATTAAATATATGGGTTATGCAAGATCTACAAAATGTGAAGGTTTATACAAAATCAAGATGTGGGGAAGATTTTCTAATGGATGAAGCCTTGATTAACTTTCCTTGTTCCTAGCTATCTTTCTGATAGATGATTCTAACTTTCCTATATGGAAGATGCATTTTCCTTTTTTACTTACCAGGCATGTGAAACTCTTTTATTTAAATATTCTCTAGACATACAATAGGCCTCTGTTTTCCACATTTCCCTGCCACAGTCCTTTGCTGCCATAAGTCTTTAAAGAGACTATCCCTTAATCGGGCTATTTAACACAGCGACTGCAAACCTGAGTGTTCAAGAGTCTGATTGTCAGTAGATGCCCAGCAAGCTCCTGGAAATGAATAAATGAACAACAGAATGAGCTTTTTTATAAAGGGGCAATGGCACGCCCTGGCCTCATTTTTTAATACCCCTTTATGTATTCATAGATTCTGCAGGGCCTGGTTGACGTTCGCATCCCACACAATGACTTCTATCGAAAATGTAAGTGCCTGGTATTAATTTTCTTTTGGGTTTGAGTTGGAGACAGCAGCGTTTGCAGAGGGGTTCCAGAAAGGCAAATTGCTCCGCCCCTTTTCTACATGCACTGTGACATCACAGGCATGTATCAAAGGGGCTGAATCTGCATTGCAATGGGACAACTTTCATTTTGTCATTCTGATGAAATCATCAGATTCTGCTGATGCCTCTGATCGAGGACATTTGATTCATTTATTAATCAGCCTTCATCTAAAAAAAATCCAGCTTGCTTTTCATTAATGAAACAATGTCTAAACAGGGTTGAATGTTTATTTAAAAGACTTATGTCCTGTCTTTTGAACACAGGAAGCTCAAGGTGGCATACATAGTGCTCCCTCCTCCTATATTTTCCCCCTGTAACAACAACCCTGTGAGGTAGATTGGGTTATGACCAATAGCTGACAAAAATTAAAACAGTTTAATATAAAAATAATTTTAGAGTTTCTTTAAAAGGTCTGCATATTTAAAGGACTAGAATCCCATAACACTGGATGGAAGCTCCATAACATAAAACAATAACCAAACAGAGATTTCTAGCTTTGGGGAGCTGGGCAGAAGAAATCTGAAGCTGGTGTTTCAGTGCATTTGATTTCTGAAGCCTCTGCTAACCATTGCTAGTGTGCTTTCTTTGTTCACTGAAATTTGGTTCTAGCTTTGAGCGCATCTCTCATTTTGAGGGACTACACATGTTAAAAACTTTGAAAATGATGCAGTGTGTTTTTACATGCCATTTCACTGCCGCCCCCTCACTTTTCTATTGGTATACAAATGCATGATGTGCAACTAAGAGTGAACCTGAGACTGCGAGAAGGTGGAGAAATGGCCATGGGAACAGTGGTTTGGGTTGCAACCACAGAAGAAGATTCATCTCAACAAAAGTAATTTTGCTGCACCAGAGTCAATCAGTAAATGAATGGCTGGGCTTGTACCTTCATCCTCTTAGCTTGGTTACTGAAGTAGCATATTTTGTGGGTTTGCCCAATGCATAGGATCGTAAACTAAGGACTTACCCACACGCCCTCCTTGCTCTGGCACTGTTGGGTCCTCAGCTGACCTTGCTAAGTGTGTCTTGTGAAGCCAGCCAGCAAATTCTCTGAAAAAACTTTTGTGTGCCTCTGCCTGTGTAGCCCCCCCCCCCCCCCATTACTAGCCTCAGGAATTACTTTCCTTGTTTCTGCTATCTCACTGACAACAGTCTGTTGCCATTATTTTCTTTCTGGGTGAAAATCTTGAAGTCTGTTTCCTCATAATTGAAATTCCATGTTGCTCTTGGACTGATTTCCTTCTCTCCCCCTCACTTCTTTTTCTCTTCTGTAAAGTATTTTTAGAGATTACAGAGGAAAAGTCACAAACTTGCCTTTATGACAACATGAGCAAGATCAAAGCCGCAACACAGATCATCTGGGGAAAGCAAGATCAGGTACATCAGTTTCCCTTCCAGTTGTTGAACCAAGGCCAGTCTGTATTAGCCTTTTCTTTAGTATAGGGATGATTCGTCCGCTTGTGAAACACACAGTGTGTGCCCCAACCTATTTTCCTTATTCCATTTGCCTCACAATATTCTATCGATATTTTTCACCACATTATATCTGTGACCATTTTTCTGTATGGTATTGAGTTACGTGTTGCAATCCAGTGGCATTTTAACTCCAAAGATGAAGCAGTTTTAGAATTATACAACCTATCTCCCTGACTTCCTATTGGATTTCAAGCAATGTGTAGCCTGAAAATTCATAGGTTCTCAGTTTCTCTCCCCTTTTCCAGGATATTATTTGCCACTTTCTTCACATTCCTAGGCTGCCCTACTCCAAAATGACTCTGGGTGGTTTCACAGACTAAAAACACACTAAAATAGGAAACAACACCCAACAAAGCATCAAACGTAACTGGTGTTTGAAGGGAAACCCACCATACATGCTGGTCAAAAGACGCACCATACCTCCATTACAACCATCAAATGACGCACCATACCTCCACTACAGCCATCACTAAAAGGGGACCCACCAACTCACCTGGCCCCAGGCCTGGGGGCACAATCAACTTCAAAGATCACCTAAAGGCAGGCAAGATGGGGGCCATGTAGACCTCCCAGGGGATGCTGTTCCAAAGGGCAGGTGCAGCAACACAGAAGGCTTCTGGGCCCTGCTAGATAGCGCTCTTTAACTGATGGGAGTTGGAGCAGGCCAGCTCTTTTGGAGCAAATAAAACAGGTAGACACTACAGAGGACAGGTAAGTAAGCTCTATGCCATATGGAACTTTATATATGGATAGCCAGCATCTTGAACTGCACTTGGAAGCCAGTGTACACCCAGTGCAGCTCATGTAGCAAGAGTGTGACATGGGCATAGTGAGGCTTGCCCATCACTGCTCATGCTTCTGTGTTCTGGACCAGCTATAATTGTGGCCTTCGTGGGCAGCCCATGTAGTCTGCATTTGTGGTGGAATGGAATTATGAAGGCCAAGCTCAGGGAGACAAACATTTTCTTAGCTCGCCAGAACCGTGTGGGAGGATCAAGAGGATGAGACTGGCACCTCCCTGAGGAATTCACAGTGTTGTGGCTGGAGGACTTTGGGAACTAGGGTTTGAGTCTGGGAAGACTGATGTCAGGCCTAGCCCAAGGAACTCCAAGAGACAATGCTAATTCAGTCCAGCTATGTTTATTAGCTACAAGCTCCAGCAAGAATCTTCCCAGATTCAACCCCAGTTCCCAAAGTCCTCCAGCCACAACACTGTGAATTCCTCAGGGAGGTGCCAGTCTCATCCTCTTGATCCTCCCACACGGTTCTG